AAAAAAAAAAAAAAAAAAAAAGACACTGTAGATATGTGTCCAACACATGTCCACTGTGTGTCGGTTTGGGAGGAGTGTTGGACACCCTGACACCTCTGTTGCTAGCCATGTCGGTGCTTCCTAGGTTAGTAGTATTCAAATTGGAAAAATACACGATCTTAAGCTTTTGGAAGGCCACCCACGCTGGATTGAAACTGGGACCAGGATTTGGAGGGATCAGCGAATAAGATTGCAGTATCATGGGATCTGTGTGCAATCCTGCTCTGTTTGTTTTATCTGGGTTTGTAGATCAGGTTTTGCAACCTGATTCTCAAAAGAATTTCAAAGAAAAAAACACACTAATTCTAACCCAATTTACCTAATCTCTCTCACCCTCTGTCACATGCTTGCACAGACTTCTATGCCTCTTCACATTCCCTCTTCACACTCTCCCACTCCTTCATTCCCTGTTCTCCCTCTCGTTTCCGTTTCTGAGTCAGCCAGTCAATGAATGCTCTCTACTCTCTGTTCTGGACTTTTGGACTTTGGTATTTGGTGAGTTAGTAGTGACTGGTGGTCTTGTCTATACTCTCTGTTCCTGTGCCCCGTGTTGTGGCCTATTGTCTTTCGTCCATCAAGTTGTGTTCTGGATGGGTGTTCTCTGGCCTCTCTCAATTTCTCTGTTTTGGTTTTCATGCTCTGGGGTCTCTGGCCTATATTTCATGATTTTGTCTTGAAAGATTTGCTAGACTAGATATATTGATTCTACATTTTGGACAATTTATTGTGTTTTAGTAGTAATTATGACTTGCAGGTGGATATGATCTTATGGTTATGAATTTCAATTTAAGTTTACTAGCTTTGTTAAATGTTGTAATTGAGATGTTACTTTTTTTTATCTATTATTTTTAATGCATGTGTATATGCAAAGTATAATTGTGTTTCTGGTATGATCTTACAATCTTTATTACAATTCTATGATTTATGATCTTCCACCCACTCCCAATCCCACGTAGGATCTCCATTTCGACAACATTGATTGAAATGATTATTAAATGTAAGCAGCACAAACATGAGTTTTGTATCTAGTCTCATATAAAAGCATATATTTGTGTGCACATATTTAGCGTAATATAGATTTTTGATAAAGAGCTAAAATCTTTCATCGTGTACCTGATCTAAAAAGGAAAAAGAAAATCTTAACCTTGATGTTATTAACTAACTTCTTCTAAGGTTCCAGAAAATTCTTTTAAAAGAAAAAGAAAATAGGAAGTGAGGCCTACCTCAACTGATTCGTCAGGTGGAAGTGAACTTAATGCCCTCTCAAATAATGCACGTATATTTTGGTCATCATTCAAACGAGTCAAGAAATCAGCATATCTGAAAAATCATGAAAATATTTTTAATAGTCAATCAGTATTCTTTTTGGACGGAAAAGAATTTATCATTAAGATAATGAGGAAAATTACAATTAATGATTTGACAATATGTCCTCCAAAATTAAAAGTAAATAAATAAATCAGTATATAAACAAACTATGATGCAAAATGACAACATAAAGCACATTGCACTAAGAGGCACATGAATCTCAGTCTTCTTAATTTTGGAGTAAATAAAGCAACCAATATTAGGGTCCGTACATCAGCCAGATCAATTGCAATATAGAACAAACATAAAAATTGCTTTCGTGTGGTGAATTACAATAGTAGGTTTAATGTAATGTCAACTATGTCAATCTCTTTATGATGTAAAACTCCACACCTGGTTCTGGCCGTTCAATTTATGGGGTTTTGGGTTGCCAAGAAAGAAAGAAAGAAAATCCAGATTATTGTATTTCTGTACTAAAAAGAGGATAAAATATCAAGTAAATATAGGTGTGCATCAAGAGAACAAGGCGGCACAAAGTTATCAGAGTTAAGAGGAAGGTAGAACTCACTCGAGAATATAAACAGACTCATGCATAAAGCGTTTTAGCCCTGCTTCAAAAACATTATGAGCCATCTGCATGAATAATCCAATAAAGCAATCATATTTATTGTTATTCAAAAAGTATTGAGTCAAATTATTAGCTAAAAGTTAAAACTTTAAAGTATAGAACTCCAAGGATATCAACGTTATTAGCTAGAATGGGCAAGATTGAAATCCTTTGCATTGTTTCTATATTGTTAGATATTACTTCATTCTGAGACCCAGTTGTATCAAGAGCAAAAGGCTCTGAAATACCTAAATTTTTACACACCTACAAACACTTACACTTTTATATATGTAGAACAACATATTCTACCATTCCAAGCACCAAAAAAATTTCCAGGTTATACATCCAGCAGAATAATTATTATCAAACATGATTTTATAGGAATACATAATCCCACTACCTGACTAAAATACACACGCACACAAAAAGAGAAAATAGTAGGAACCTTGGGATCCTTGTCGAGACAAAATGCCATCATAGCATAAGCAACATAAACATGATATGTACAGCTTGGAGATTTGCGAGCATCTAAAAAGTACTTCCTAGCAGCTTCAACACCTTCAGTTCTTCTTAAAAAACGCATGAACTGAAACATGAAATAGATGTCAAATTCTTTGCAATAAAATCTATTAAACAAGCATTAAAATGAACTGCACAAATCCTTTAAGAATATTGATAAAGGAGGTTAAGGCAGAGTGAAAAAAAAATAAAAAATTAATCTATTACACCCATAACTTCTGTAATGAACAACGGTGAGGATACAAGGTATCTGTGTGGAATCCACCACAAAATGCAATAGATAAAATACATGGACAACTACAAACTTCCAGAGAATCAAAACAAGAATTTGAACAAGCAAAATATTTAAATTTCTGACAATCTCATGTCTAAAGACTTGTTCAGTGATTTTCAAAACTCAATATCAGAAGACAAATCGATGAACATATATATCCATGTACACGCATCCAACACCACTATTTAGCACTAAAAACATTAGCAAACTAATTTATGTACTTGAATATGAGAAAGTGCTGTTGCACTGACACCATCTCCCAGAAGGCTTTCATATATTTTCTTTGCAGCCTGACATAAAACAAAAAAAGAAGGATATAAATATAGTTAAAGATTTAAAAAAAAAAACAAGAATAACAAGAATCTTTGAAGCATATACTTGAGAACCAGAAAATATTTTGGAAAGGTTCTGTGAATTGCTTGAGTGAGAGTACTCAGCATCCTTGATATCTAAATACATAATAAAAAATACATTTTTCATTTACAAGGACAGAAATAAAGAATTAACTATGCCCAATGACTCTTAAATCTTAATCTTTCTAATGATGCATAAACTCCCATAATACTCGGTGACAATAATCACTGTCACTTTTTGCAACACATTTGTCCAACCTGTCATACCTGAATTGCTCCACGGGACTCCTCTAGCTCTGCATATGCATATCGTAGCATTTCTGAATCTGTTCACAAATGAAATGACAAAGACCAAAGAGGTGAGAGACAAAAATAAGCATAACAGAGAGACAAAACATGTAGATGCAGAATTAAGATAAGCCTTCAATGAGATGAAGTCTAAACCAAAGATCAAGAATTGTTAACACGAGAAGTATTCAGAATCAAAGGATATATATATATCAGAAAAAGAGCTCTGAATGTCATACATTATGTGTCTATGTAACCATATAATTTCGTACTATAGATGACAAATTTCTTTATCATATATGTGTATCACAACTTAGAAAGCAATTGTCCTACGGGCAAGAATCAAAATGTTGAGTAAAATATATGCAGGCACTAAAAACAATATCTGAAAATTCAACAGAATTAGATATGGAAAAATGCTACGAACCAGGGAGAGCCTTCAGAGCCCTTTGAAATACTTTGATTGCAGCATCTATCGAACCACCTTTTGCATGCCATGTAGCATAGTCATACCATATATCAGGATAATGGTACATATACATCAGACACTGAATACCAGTACAATGCAGTAAGATATTCCATAAACAATAGAACAAATAAATATTATCAAACATAAACACATGTTTGATGATGTTTATTATTTCCACATCTAAACAGAGAAAATATTTTTCTTAAGATGAACTGTTTGCATATCAATTCAATGAAAATGATGTCTCAGGACATAGTAATCCCTAATAGTTCTCTTCACTAATCTAATACATCTTTTAGTAAGACAAGCCAATGTAATTAAAAACAAAACTAGGTTTTCTCCATATTAATGAGAAATTGACAATATTAGATGATCAAAAATTAAAAATCAATAAAATATATTTCCTAGTACCTGCTCATAAGTAAATATAATTCGCTTGTTGGAGGAGGCAGTATCTATTCTCTGTGGATTTCCTCTGAATTGCAAAATGATTAAATTAAATAGAAAATATTAAGTAAATGTCATAACATAAATCAGGGAGAGGATATAAAGCTATGACAATCAGAGACTCTACATCCATCTAACAGACATTTCAAAATGATAAGTTTTGTCAAAGACAAACCCTTCCAAGTTCCAAAAGCTTAAGCAGTTACATGGAGTCTCAACAATGGTTTTACATCTTTATTTTATAATAAGTTCATTTAGAACCTTTGATTAAGAGAATAGAAATGATACATGTAGTTAAGGTACAAAACAATTCATAAAGCCCTGCATAATAATTTAAGCTTTTTTAAATCATTGATCTATGACATGGCATGATATTAGAGATTTGATATCCGTTGAGATTTGATCCAGATTTCCATTTGAAATTTGTTCATGATTTCCATTTGATCTCTATCATTATCATTTCATATTTCTATTTTTATTATTCTTGTTAAGTTATCATTTTATTTTAATTTAATGTCTGATATCCCTATAATCAAGGGATGTCATCATTATTGTAATTTATTTCTAATCATTACAAATAAAAGGGTCAAGGAATCATTCGAGAATTCAGATCATTCTAAGTCTGATATTCAAGTTGGTACTAGAGCTCACATCCTGTGGGCTTGATAAACCTCTTTCCCCTGTCCAAGAAGGTTGTCATTGATTTGGTTGTGCTAACAACTGCCTCCATTTGAGGTCAAACCACTGACACCAAAAATAGAAGTCGTTGATTTTGAGCAAAGCTTCCTTTCTCCACCTTGACGAAGGTCAATTGGGCTATTTGACTTTTCTTCCACTATTCATCCTCCCTTGGTACTGTTCATTCACATGTAACTTTGTCTTGATGGCAGAATCCTCACCCAAAATACTCTTGTTAGATGCTGAATACAAAGACTATCTCCAATACAGGACAACCCAACACACTTCTGCCACAATTGCTCATTTTGGTAATTAAACAATTTTCCTATCTCACTCACCTTTTGTTGGATCTTGGATCCTCGACTTTGGTGCTTCCGATCACATAGCTAGTAATACCTCACTTGTCTTCAACTTGTCACAAACTAAATCTTCCCACCACATCACCCTAACTAATGGATCTAAAACCCCCATCATAGCTATTGGTCAAGCCACCACCACTCCTTCATTATCATTAAAATCTTTCTTTTTGCACCCAAGTCTCCTTTTAACCTTTTATCTGTTAACCAACTCATCCACACTCTTAATTATTCTATTACCATTTTTCTTACTCTTTTTGTATACAAGACTGGAGTACAAGTCAAATGATTGGCGCAGAATATGAAGCACATGGTCTCTACTACTTCCACCCACCCAAAGTTGTTGCATGCACCGCTATCGAGTCTCCTAGTCTACTCCATCATCACTAGGTCATCCCAGTTAATGACATCCCATGGTATACTCCACCACTCCTCTTGTCCTTACACACCACAACAAAATGGTGTTGCCTAATGCAAGCATTGACATATTCTTGACATTGTGCGTACCCTCTTAATTCACTCAAATGCACTTTTAAAATTTTGGGAGGATGTTGTTCTTATAGTTGGTTATCTTCTATGATGCACCGATATGATACGCGTATCGGATACGACACATCCGATACGACGATACGATTATTTTAAAATATATAGGATACGATACTTGTAAGATACGTGTCATCATATATATCAATGTTCATACAATATAATAATTGTGTCCTCTTCTTCTATTGGTAAAACCATCCTCATTCTACTTTATTTCCTGATGAGCCTTTGTTTCATATTCCTCCTCATGTTTTTTATTCTACTTGTTTTGTTCATGATCTCACTCCCGATCTTGATAAGTTGAAGGCTCGTGCAATCAAATTCACCTTCCTTGGTTATTCACGAACCTAAAAAGATTATCAATGCCACTCTCCTGCCAACCAACACTTTTTACATGTCTGTTGATGTCACTTTCTTTGAATATACTCCCTTTTTCACCTCATCCATCTCCTTTGATGTCCATATTTCCCAAATACTACCTATTCCTCCTATTATTCCTCACATAACAGTTTCCTTCCCCTCTCCTGACCCCTCCCCTTCTTACTTATCATCACCACCCTAGACCTCCACATGTAGAAGCAACTCTTAATGAAGAGGTCAATGCTTCATCTCCTGATCCAATCACCTATCCTACAGCAATCGACTCTCCCTTACCCATTGACATCCATAAAGGTAATTGTTCTACTCACACCTTCACCCCATGTATAATTTCTTAAGTTATCACTGTCTTTCTCCTTCCCACTATGCCTTTGTGTCTACTTTTTCCTATGTTTCTATTCCAAAAAATGTTCAGGAAGCACTTTCACATCCAGGTTGGCAACAAGCGATGACTAATTAGATGCAAGCTCCAAAATATGACAAGACGTGGGCTCTTGTTCCTCCACCTCTAGGAAAATCTCTAGTTGGTTGTTGTTGGTTCCTTACTATCAAAGTTGGACCTAATGGACAAATTGATTGGTTGAAAGCACAACTTGTAGCCAAAGGCTACACACAAAATTTTGACCTAGAATATAGTGATACCTTTTCTCTGGCCGCCAAGATGGTCTCTATTCTTTTTGTCCATGGCAGCTATGCAACATTCGCCTCTTTATTAGTTGGACATCAAAAATGCATTTCTACACAATGATTTAGCCGAAGAAGTCTATATGGAGCAACCTCCCAAGTTCACTGCTCAAGGAGAGTCTAGTGGCTTTGTTTGCAAGTTACGCAAAGCCTTATACGATCTCAAACAAAGTCCAAGAGCATGGTTTAGAAGATTTAATTATGTTCTCCAAAACTTTGGCATGACTTGTAGGGAGTTCGACCAAACAATTTTTTTTTACAGACTTTCCTTCACTAACCAATGCATTTATCTTGTGGTGTATGTAGATGATATTGTTATTATAGGAGATAACCACTGGGGTATCCAGGACCTTAAAAGACATTTGTTTCAACACTTTCAAACTAAGGATTTAGACCAACTTAAATATTTTCTAGGTGTTGCCATATCTCAAAGAAAATATGCCCTCGACATCTTATAAGAGATTGAGATGCTAGATTGTAAGCCCATAAACACTCCCATGGATCCAAATCAAGGTTATTAGTAAGGTTATACAGCAGATGGCAGCAAGGACCTTTAAGTGCTATATTGCCATGGCAGCCAGATCAGGGCGGTCTACGGCGGACAAAAAAAAAAAAAAATATATATATATATATATATATATATATATAATATGATGCAAAAACAGAAAAATAACAAACACATATATTAAAACCAACAATATAACAATCTAAAATTCATGGCATTCATAATCTAGTGATAGTCATCATAAAAAAACATAAATTCCTAACCAACAAAAGGATTAAATAGCCATCAAAACAAAGAAACAATGTTAAAAAATAGCAAAACACAATGACAATTCCTAAAACTATTTTGTTTAATCCTCTTCATCCTCATCAATGTCTGCATTTGAATGTATGAAATTAGCTTCTTCACCATTTGAATGTATGAAATTAGCTTCTTCTCCACTAGATGATGTTGCTCATTTAAAAATCATTCAGCTTCTTCTCCATCTGAATGTATGAAATTAGCATTTGGCACTAATTCCTCCTCCTCATTGCTAGAATCTTCTAATGCCTCAACTTCTTCAACCCTTTTCCCCTTGTTCTTTGAAGCTACTCCTTTGGCTCTTTTAGAAGGATTAGTAGATGTTCCTACTTTCCCCTCTCCTTTTGTGACGCCTAGTGTATTGTCTAGGCTCACCAAGTCCCAAAGCTTGATAAACTTGTCTCCAAGTAAGGTCATCATCTCCTTCATGAACCCTCTCATCTTCACCTTCTTCCCCATCCATCTCTCCAATTAGCCACTCATTGCAATCATCAATCCCATTGAGACTAATTGGATCGATTTCATCCTTAAGGTTATACCTTTGATGGAGTGCTTGATTATACTTGACAAATACCAAGTCATGTAGTCTTTTATGCTCAAGTCTATTCCTTCTCTTAGTATGAACCTAAAACAATTAAATAAAAACTTATTACTTAAGGAATAATAAGCAAGACATTGATTGTTGACTTTAAATAAGAATGAAGAAGTTAATTACTTGCTCTAAGACGCTCCAATTACTTTCACAATTGAAGCATTACAGGTCAAGCTAAGGATCCTTATTGCAAGTTGTTGCAAATATGGAGTATCTGAACCATACATCCGCCACCATTGAGCTACAAATGCAAACAAAATATGTTAAACACAAAACTTGAGAAAATGACTTAAAGAATAAAAGTTCAAAAGTTGCAATATTTTGTCTCTTACCCAATGCAACTTCACCTCTCATTGCTATAGCAGTTGTGGGCCCAAACATACCACTCACAGCTTTATAGTGAGCCAACTCCTTATGAACAATCTTCTCCATCTCCAAATCTCCCAGCAATTGATACAATCATACAAACCCCTAATAATCTCACCATTAAACTCCATCTGTGGGTTGGCATAAAAGAACTCCGGGTTCAAAAAGTGACCAACAGCATGTAAAGGGCGATGAAGCCGAATATCCCATCTTTTATCAATGATTGCAAACACATTCTTGTATTTTCTTTCATTTTTAAAAGATTTCATAATGGTTTCCTTTGCCTTGTCCATTGCCTCATATATGTAGCCCATGGCTAGTTTTTTCTCACTATCCACAAGCCTAAGCACTTTCACAAGAGGAGCCATCACTTTCAGAATGAAAACTACATTCTTCCATAAACTAGGCATCAAGACAGTTTTAGTGGCTTCCTTTCTCTTGGCCTCCTTTGCTAGCTTGTTTTCATTCCACTCTTCTGACACAAACATCTTTTGAAGATTAGTTTTCTCTTGATGAATCCTCTTCAACGAAAGATAAGATGTTGCAAATCGAGTGATTGCATGCCTCACTAACTCCCTCCCACCAGTAAAGAACCTCAACATGCTCAAAGTGCTTGAATGGCTATAAATGAAGCCAACAAGAGAGATAGCTCGCTGAATGGTCTTCTTTATATTGGGCAGCTTATCAATGTCCTCTAACATCAAATCTATACAATGTGTAGCACAAGGAGTCCAATAAAAAAAAAATTCTTTTTTCCTCTAGAAACCTACCAGCAAGAACATAATTACTTTCGTTGTCTGTTATAACTTGGACAACCTTTTCCTCTCCAATCTCCTCCACAATAGAATCCAGCAACTCAAATATCTTTTCACCGGCCTTTACATAGTCAGATGCATCAACCGACCTTAAGAACATTGTCCCAGAAGAGGAGTTCACCAAAAAGTTGATTATGCTTCTTTGTTTCCTATCAGTCCAAGCATCTGACATTAAGGAACACCCAAAACTTGCCCATTGATCCTTTAGTGGCTTCATTAATTCATTAGTGTACTCCACCTCTTTTTGAAGGAGTGGTACTCTAATGTCATGATAGGAAGGAGCTTTCAAATGCTTCCTAAAATGCCCAATTTCATGAAGCATATCTTGAAAAATTTTCCAACTTTATCAAGTTGAAAGGAATGTCAGCTTGGTACCAAAAGCATGCTATATGTTGATACACCCTTTCTGTAGCTTTTTTATCACAAAGCTCTCTTATGTCCGCTTGCACCACCTTGTATTTCCTATTTTTTGTAGCTGTAGATTGAGATTGATTGTAAAGGTCCATAGGACCCTTCCTAATATCCTTCAATCTAAAATCACCCATTGGAGGTAGCAGAGAATCAAAACATCCAAATTCCATAAATCCTTCTTCACATTATGCTTCAATCTCTTGCATTGCCTTCTTGAATGCTTCATTTTGCCTCTGCTTCTTACCATCCATAGCTGCCCTTATCTCAACCTTGACAGCTTCAGGAGCCATCAAACAAGTTGTAAGATTGCCCGCTTTTCCAATACAAAGTTGTTTCACCCTTGTGATACCTCCTTTCATAACCTTCCGATAATAGGTACAAAGAATCTCATTTGTATCATTCTCTCTCACTGGTGTACTGTGCTTCCAAGCAACATCACTCCTCTTAGAATTACTGGAATTGGAAGACGACACTGTTTGTGGCTGGGTGTTTGATTCTGCATCTCCTGACATTGTAATAGACTATGGTGGTTGCGACGGATGCAGTGGTGGCAGCGACGGATGCAGTGGTGGCAGCGACGGAGGAGGCGTGCAGAGGGAGAAGGAGTAGAGCAGAATCGCATGTAGAGGGAAAAGGAGTGATCGCGAGCAAAGGAGCAACAGTTGTGCATGGAGGAAGAAGTAGTCACACGGAGGGGAAAAGGAAGAATCGGGCGCGCAAAGGTGGAAGAGAAGACTCATGCATGCGGAAGGGGAGGAAGTGTGTGTTGCACGCATAGTAGTCAATCCCGGATAGCGGAGCGGAGCGGTCGACACTTTACAGCACCTTAAAACAATACAACTATAGACATCTTACAACAAGAGGCAACATACAACAATAAGCATCTTTTAACAATAGGCAACTTATACAACTTTAAACAACTTTTACATCAATAATCTACTTTAACTTATACATTTTAACTTATTCATAATTCAACAATAAACAACATAAAAACAACTTAGTTTTACAACGTATAGCAACTTTAACAACGTATCACATATTATCAACACACAACATATGAACAACTTAAGCTAACAACTACTCAATCAACACTCAACAACTTAATCAATCTACATTCTAGCTTCCCAACCCCTATTCTCCTCACTGCCCACAACCCTTATTTATAGACATTCCGGAGTGGCCAGAACGGCTTGTACCAAAACCAGAACGGCCTGTTCTACACCCCTTCCTCATGTGCAAAAATCACATGCAGAACGGCTCGTTCTCAACAACGATTTATAGGTCAATTTAATAGCTTGGAACGGCCCGTTCCAGATTGGGAACGACCCGTTCTGGGCTACTAAATCACCTATATTAGTTTTTTTAAAAATAACTTGCTACGTGACAGCATCGGGCGTGGATGAGTTTTAGGACTCTTGGGTTGGGATTAGGCTGGGCGAGCTCAGGCTTCGCTGGGCGTGGACATGTTGATGAATGAAATGATGCTAATGCATGTTAAGTTAAAGTTTTGGATCATGTATGTGTGATATATGATGTATGGTGAGGTGTGATTCATATGTATGCATAGTGATGATATGTATGAATGTTTAAATATGATATGACATGTGTATATGTTCATATGACTATGATTATTGATCATGATGGTGGGTAGACCATGTATGATGTATGATGCATTATTGCATGTGATGCTTTATGGCATGAGTATGTTTATTGATCATGATGGTGGGTAGACCATGTATGATGTAAGATGCATAATTGCATGTGATGCCTTATGGCATGAGTCTAGCTTAGGACTTGAGGAGAGGAAAAATATTTTTGAACTGGAAGAGCTCACATAGAGTCTCTTGAGAGTGGTGCTTGGATAGACCACTGATATATGAGAGTGGTGCTAAGGTAGGCCACTGAATTTGGGAGAGTGGTGCTCAGGTAGGCCACTAGGTTGGGTGAGTCTCCTCTAAGTCCTTAGCTAGTGTTGGAGCGGGGTATGAGGTCGAGGGTTATTCCCTTAACCAAGTACTCGGGAAGGTGCGTGGATCCTTGCGGATAGTCGGTGGGC